CACAATGTAACACTGTTGCATATAAAACCTATTATTGCTTTTTGTCATTTGAGTGAATAGTCTGCACACAGAGTTTCAGGCTCAGTGTTTCGTTATTTGTGTCTATAGCACCTTACCAGTCGCATTGCTCTTCTTTGAAAGAACTTTCAAAAGTACGAGCAAAGAAAGATGCATCGCATCTCAGGCTTTGCAAGAATAAAACCAGCTTGCGTGAAACTCAAGCTCTGGATTCTGATGACTCGTAACTGACCAGGAGGAGTTCTTGGCAAAACTCCCTTTGAGAAGAAAGTTGAGTCATATTTCAGTTTTTAAGCAAATTATCTTGAATTCCATAGTTCACATTGCTTAGCGTGTCTTGGAGATTCGCCATCCCTAAGACTGCAGGTAGCACTCGGTGAATGAGGTGCCCGGTGAGTGTGCAAGGGCACGTGACAAAACCTGTACACGGAGACCGGCGAGACAGTGCCCAGCCCAGCCACTTAGCCAAACGCTTCTCGTATACCAGGTCAGCTTTTGGGCAGCCATGTGTTTTAAGATGGCACTTTTTGAATTACATCATTTACAGAATATGAAAAAAAAATGGCCTGTGAATTAAACCGTCATCATTACCACTAAGAGTGATGATGATACTGTTAAAAACATAACTACTGGCAGAGTGTATTCTGAGCCCATTGCTGCAGTTGTGGAATTTTAATGGTCCAGAAAACTGGAGTTGCAGGGACTCTTTTTTTCTCTTTTTTTTGATGTTTAAGAAGGCAGCAGAGAAAATGACCCTAGTTCTTGGAATGTATTTTAATGGCTTTTGAAGATCTCGGTATCCTTGAGAAAAATAAACTCATTTTATCTTCTTGTGTCATCTCACAGTCCTCCTTCTGAAGTCTGTGACCAGTTGTAATCTTTCCCATATTCTCCAAGGAGCACACGATGAATAAATTATCCATAATGGGTTTTACAAGATATGTCATGGGATTTTTTAAGGGAAAGCCAAGCTCCCAGGACAGAGCAGTGCTTTTTCTACTAAACGAGGGGCTGGATCAGCTACCAAACACAGACCTTTGAGGTTTCTTTAGCAGGGTCATAAGCTCTTTCCTGGTTTTCTCTTGGGGTGATTCCTGCTTCAGGGAGGAGTATTTGCCTACCTGAGTTGAAAAGTTTGAAATAAGGGCAAAATTCTTATTTATTCTTGTTGATTGACTATATGTGTGTTTGGAGAGACAGGTTTGATGGCAGGTATCTGGAAGTTTTCTTTTTGAGAGGTTTAAGGCTGGGCAGAGTAATAGGCACAGTGACTGGGATTGCTGCAGTCACTCTTCAGATGATTATTTACTGGCTTTCAATGTGAATTAGGAATGAAGCTCAGTCTAGGAACCTTTGACAACATAGCATTTTTATTTGCATTTATTTCATGCCATTTCTTGAATGAAAAGGCCTTAAAAGTAAAAATACTTCCATGCTTCCAGTGTAGTTCAGCATCAACATACGATGAATTTTCATCAGTTGAAGCGATTTTTTTTTTTTTTTTTCCTTCCCACAGCATTGGTGGCACCTACACCTGAGCTGGCAACTGGCTTAGCCCAGCTGCCCCAGTGCCGAAGCTCCCTTCGGGTGCAAAGCTGTTGCATTCGCAGCGAGCAGCTCGGCATGGCTGCAGCCCCTTCCCGTGGGCCGGGGCGGGTTGTCCTCCAGCTGCGCCACAGGGACCAGGTGATGAGCCCGGAGCGGACACTCATCTTGTAGGAAATGAGGCTGGTTGACATGAACCCTACCCTTTGGGACTGTAGATTTTATTTAGACTCTGCGATTTGTCGCATCTGCGAACCTGAAATCTAAAATAGGTGATTTGGGGGTGAAACTCATGCGACCACCTGTACTCCGCTGACTGTGGAGGGTGCCTAAGGTACTTAGCAATGACAAAGGCTTTGCTCTGTGTATGTCTAAGGTAAAGTTATCTTTGCAAAAGATTTGCAGTTTGCATAGTGTTTTTCCAGGTATCTCACTTCTATCACCCTTTCCCTCTGAATCCGCAAGCGCTTCACGAACTGAGTGCTGTTGTCGCTTTTATCATCTTAATTTTGCAGATGGAGGTGCTAAGAATGAGGTGGCTGTCCTTTGCCAAAGCTCTGCAATGCGTTCATGCTGTGAGAGTGAAAGTTTTGGTCCCCAGCCCCACCACTCTGTCTTCACCCTCCTCGTGTTTTGGCGCTGAGATCAGGTTTCCTCATACCTGAAAGCGCAACGCATTGTTTTGCTTGACAGTTTTTTGGTTTCGGGGGTTTGCTTGGGGTTTGTTGTTGGTTTTTTTGTTGTTGTTGTTGGTTTTTTAGTAAATCACTTAATCTAGCAAGAACCTGAGGCAGATTCAAAGATGTGCCCGCCGTCACACTGCTTCAGGAGCAACTCGTCTGCCCGAAGCCTGGGATCTGCGGAGACGATTGCTGCTGCTTCCGCTGGCACGGCTTGCGCACAGCTTTTTCTCTGCCTTCACTCAGTCAATGTCCCGTAGAATCAGAGTTTTGGTTAAAACAAAAAAATCCTATTGCTTTTGTGCTGCGAAAGATCCCTGGCGAGTAAACCAGCAAGCCGTTTTCCTGCCGGTCTGGCCCCGCAGCGTTTCGGCTACGGAGGGGCAGGACAGCAATGCTGGAGCTGCGGGGTGGCGAGCTGTGGAGTCTGCTCTCCGGCACGCCATCTGCCTCGCTGGATCGCTCACCTCAGGACCTGCTTTTGAAACGCTGAACAGGGAATTTATGAAGCACAGGCAATGTCAGGGCCATTCTGTAAACCCTCCTGGGGGACCGTGATGCAAAACGGTGCCCAAGGGGAAAGCTGCTCTTGCCTGAATCTTAGGCGAACCTTCGCACGGGTGTTTAAATGCCAGGGGATACAGATCTCGGTACAGAGGTTGTCACGTCTATTAAGGAACAGTTTATTTTAGGAACTCATGGTCACAAGAAGCTTCAGGATTCAGTGGGCTCGGCCCTTGCCACCTCAGCAGTCATCGTCTCCCGTGGCTTTATCCTTTTATAAAAAGATCATGCTTCTCTTCCAAAATAGGTATTTTATCCCCACAGGCTCCAGGAAGACTGTTCTGGAATGTCACTGCTAAAACCATCCTCTGCTTGCAGGTCTGCATTTATTTATCAGCAGCCTAAATACATTTCTTCACCATGAGGGTGGTGAGGCACTGGAACAGGTTGCCCAGAGCAGCTGTGGATTCCCCCTCCCTGGAAGTGTTCAAGGCCAGGCTGGATGGAACTCTGAGCAACCTGGTCTAGTGGGAGATGTCCCTGCTCATGGCAGGGGGGTTGGAACCAGATGATCTTTAAGGTCCCTTCCAACCCAAACCATTCTATGATTGATTTTTTTTATCGTGCCAACATTTGAATACCTGCGTGGTTGCTCCCCTGGTATCTGTAGCGGAAATTTTCTCTGCAGAGGAGCTGACAAGGACCCAGCTCCCATTTCCCCTACGCCGTCCTCGCACCGGGCTGTACCAGGCCCTGTCTGCCACCATAACCATGTGTAGAGTTGCTCCTTCGGGAGAAAAGAACAGATTCTGCCCTACTGTAAGCCTCAAGGCTTGCCTTTAAACTTTGCACCTGAAATTTGGACAGTTTGGGTTCTTGAGAAAAAAAGATCACATGTAAACTTCAAGATAAAATTACATTTCTGAGAAAGTCTTTGCAGGGAAAAACATGCTCTTTTGCAAAGCCCTTTTCTGTGTGGTGGGGATGTGGTATAAACCAGAAGTATTGGGTCCTGTAAACTTCATTTGAAACAGGCAGATGTCATGCCTGCATAAGTGAACTATGGCCTCCCACCTCGACGTAGCGCCCTGCGAGAGCCGGGGATGCTCCTGCTTCTTCGGTTGCATGAGAGCAGTTTGATGGTTTTGAGGTAGCCCTGAGAATTCGAAAATACCCCCAAATTAATCTGGCACCCGAGCATTCACCACGTACCCCAGGGTGAACCGTTATTTGGCAATGCTGCAGAAAATTCATTCACAAAATGGGAATTGAGAGAGTTGTGGTGCGGGAGCTTGTTGATGAATAGCATCCTGTTGCCTCAGCACCACGCTGGAGTTGTAGCTCCGCCAAGAGTGGTCGCGCTCCAGAAATTATTGGTCTTTCAGTTGATTTGCATTGCTGATGAAGAAATGTGTCACCGTAGCAGACTTGTCTGATCTGCCTTTGGTGTTATTCTCTGCGCTTTTAAGCAACACATCTATCAGAGGAGAGATCACGTGAGCTCTAGATAATAACTGCTTGACACAAGATACACACTGCTTTTTCTTTCTATGATACGTGAGCTTAGGGATTTGGGTTTGTCTGTTTCTGTGCTTGGTCAGAGTAAGTTTAACCGTACACAAAGCATCCTCTGCGCATCCTCTTTACCGAAAAACTTGGAATACAGACATTGGTAGAACAGAGTACTGGGATAACTCTATCCCTCTGTTCCATCCACTTAGCAACAGCACGGACACAAGATATACTGCATATTTTTAACTAAGAGGCAACTTGGAGAACATACAGAAGATGAACACTGAATATAAAAATGGGACTTGGACAAGCAAATAATTTTTATTGCTTATTTGTAGGTGGTTAATCTTTTTTTCCTGAAATAAATAGGATTGGTTTTCTCACTAGTTTGTAAATACGAGTACTGTCTTCAGCAGTTGGTTGCGGGAGCGGGTAGATTTGTAAGGTTAGTGAAGCTGATCTCATTAAGGCATCTAAGGTTACTACTGTCCTGCAGTGCGTTTAGGTTACAACCTGGCGTCGTCCTAACAATATAAAATCGGTTGATAAGAATGGTCCCCTTTGTCCAGGTTTCACTGGTTTCTTCTGGTGATATTGCCTTCTATTGGTGGTATATATCTTTCGGGTTTTTCTTCTGTCTCATTTAGGTTGCTGACACTGTGGCTGCAGTTTACCCAGGAGATACCAACTAAACACTAATATTTGGAGAAACACTTGGATACGTACAGTTCCTCGCCCAGGATGCCTTTCAAAGCTGGATTAGAACTGACTGAATTGCAGAATATGACTGTTCCTGAAGATGATAACATCAGCAATGATTCAAATGATTTCACAGAGGTGGAAAATGGCCAGATAAATAGGTGAGTATTTTTCCACTGACGCTGCCTGCACGAAGAAACACACTGTTTAAAAACAGCATTCTAATTTTCAGTATATGTCTTGAATTATTCATTACCAAGTCATGCTCCATTTGAAGATGTAATTTGAATTTCTTATGTGACATCTGTTGGGCATAGGCTGCAACAGCAGATAAAGCAAACAGTGGCAATTTATTCATCATTTCGAATCTTCCAAATTAGTCTAGTAAAATGCACAAACGTATAACGTAGCAAAAATCCAACATTTTGTAATGTCTGCTTGCACACAGCAAAGAAGTAATAATAATTAATACAATTAGACCAATGACATAATTTGGGGCAAATCGCTTTGTTGACCTTTGATTTCAGAGATAACAGTTTTAACCTGCCTGGCCACCTCCAAGCACCCCAGCTCCTAGGGATTCACAGCTGGGGTTGGTGGCAGCAATTGTAGTCCTGGTCCACGTTCACAGTTCGGCAACGTAAACTGGGCAGTGGCTGTCCCTCCCTGAAGCAAGGGTGGCAAGAAGCCAGGAAAACAGAGGTGTATACCTAACTCAAGTTTAAAAAATGCATCTGTTTATCAATACTGGTGAAAATCATTACATCTGTTTAAATTAGGCTGTAGACTTTTCCTGTAAGCTGCGCAGTCATCTCAAAGAGCAGCCTGTTCCACCTGAGAGCGGCTCTTCAGCCCTTCCCACCGGCCTCCAACAGCCCTGTTTACGGCAGAGACCTGCTGACAGACCGTGTTTGGGTTTGGGGAGCTGTAAAACAAGGAGCTGTTTTTCGATCAAACTTCCTGTTCAAATATCACAACCGGAGGCGGTGCCCGCGCGGGGATCCAGCCCTGCCCGTGAAGCCTCTGCCGGCACGCCGTCCCGCTTCTCTGCCGCTGGCCTGCTGCTGCCTGTGTTTATGGTCCTTAAAAACCTCTTCTCTTGCCCTTGCTTCTTCTTGGCTACCCGGAGAATTTCACTTTCTAGCGTACAAACAAAATTAAAAGGTGGTTTTTCCCAAGTGAAGATAAAGGCACATGGCTCTCGTGGGCGGACAGGGAGCTTGGCAGCGGCGCAGCAATAAGCCCCGGGCTTTGACCATAGCAAAACCAGCCGGCCGTAGCCTGGGACCGAGCAGGGGGCCCTGGCCGGCGGCACGGGGGAGCCCCCCGGCAGGAGGGTGCCAGTCCGGCTCCCCACACCCCGCCCCTGGC